GTTACAATGAAGAGTCAGCACTCTTTAACAGACAGTGCTCTTTAACTAGATAGATACACATACAGATAGATGAATAGATTAACAGACAGAAAGATAGACAGACAGGCAGGGAGACAGACAGACAGATTAAGCTAAGTATCAGCACTTCTTAACTGATAGCGTTCTTTACCTAGATAGACAGACACATACAACTAGATAAATGGATGGATTGATGGATAGAGCGATAGACAGACAGATTAATCTAAGAATCGGTACCACTGCTTTTTTAACTAGATAGACAGACAAACCAAACACACCTTAGCTACCTTGCAAATTTCTTTATCACATATATCTAAAATGGTGAAAAGAGATATTTCTGAGGAGATTATGTATATTATATGGCCATAAGTATGTGGAAACTCCTCCTAATTATTAGGTTTAGGTGTTTTGGCAATACTAATTGCTAAGAGGCATATAAAGTGAAGCGCATAGTAATGCAATCATGATAGACAAACAATTGCAATAGAATGGCTCATATTGAAGAGCTCAGTGACCTCATGGCCATTTTGACTTTAAAGTGAATAAATGAAAGGTGCTCTCACTTATGCACAGTACGATAGATAGATATATAGACATATAGATAAATAGATAGATAGATAGATAGACAGACAGACAGACAGACAGATACAGCACATTGAAGCAGGGAATGATCACTTATAATGACTTATGATTCAATCCACACTGAACTGCTCTACTTCAAAAGCTTCTGTTAGGAGAAATGCCTGAGGAGATTAGATTCACTGTATGGCCACTCCTTCTAACTACCAAGTTCAGTTATTTAAGGCACACTCATTGCTAACAGGTTTATAAAATCAAGCACAAAGCCATGTCATCTCCACAGACAAACATTGGCGGTAGAATGGGTCATAATGAAGAGCTCAGTGACATTAAACGTAACACTGTCATATGATGCCATTAGTCAGTTTGTGAAAATTCTGCTCTGCTAGATCTGCCCCAGTCAGCTGTAAGTGTTATTACTGAGAAACAAAAACTTCTATGAGCAACAACAGCTCTCACAAACTCTATGAGCAGAGCCACAGATAAGTACACGTAAAAAAACAGCCCATCCTCAGCTGCATCACTCACTACAGAACTCCAAATGGCCTTGGAAGCAACATCAGCACAAGAACTGTTCATGAAATGGGTTTCCATGGCTGAGCAGCTGCACACAAACCAAGGATCACTATATACAATGCTGAGTGTTGGCTGGGGTGGCGAAAAGCACGGCGCCACCAGACTCTGGAGCAGTTCTCTGTAAGTGATTAATCACGGCAGTCTGACGCACAAATCTGCCAAGAGAACTCTGCCATAGACAAACAACTGTAGTTGAATGAATCACACTGAAGAGCTCAGTGACCTTAAACGTGGCACTTAAAGGTGTGGAAAAATATCCCTGCATATTACTTAGAAACACTGAAAGCAGGTTTCTTGAAACATATAAAAGCTATAATAAAGGCAAAGTTTTTTAAATTTATGTTTTCTGCTTTTTTTCTGAGGCCGAAAAATAAATAACTTGTACTTCATGGCTGTAAACTGAACAAATGAAAGGGTGGTCTCTGACTTATGCACAGTACGATAGATAGATAGATAGATAGATAGATAGATGGACAGACAGACAGAGAGACAGATAGAGCACATTCAAGCTTGGAAGAATGAATTATAATGACTTTATGATTCAATCCACACTGAACTGCTCTGTTTCAAAAGCTTCTGTTAGACTATTTGACCTTAAGCGATCAGTCTGCTATTGTAACAAATTATGCAAAGCTCAGCCTGCAAAAAGCTACAGACTGAAATAAAATCATTCTCTTCTATTCTTAAAGGAAAAAAACACTGAAATTTAGCTATTATTGGACAGAAAACATATTAAACCTAGCTAGGGCTATAATTAGTGTCACATTTAATGGGATTTTGGATTACAATGCATAATTGGTGGTCCCTCACTAAAACATTAGAGCCATTTTAAAGAGAATTGGACTACATTACATGCTGATTTCCTGTGACAAAGCTTTTAAGATTTAAGGTCTTGACTAAGACAGTTACAAAAGGTGGACATGACTAATGCTGGATTTGTGTACCAGATGGTAAATCAAACATCAGAAATGATGAAAGATTTTAAAACTACTGTTTCTCATTTATGTTTTGACAGTTTCAAGAAACATGGCTTTGCGATGTTATCTTAGTAATGATGAATTTCTGCAACCACCTGCAGACAGAGCTATGCCTTCTCTACATTAAATGCCTTGGACTTAAAAAGTATTTTGTCAAATTATCGAAGAACTAATGCCTACATCACTTCCATGTAATGGTGAGCTGTCCTTAAAAGACATTTTGTAATATGCGAGTTTAACAGGTCATTCAGCTCTGACTGATTACTCTCTCTCTGATTTCTCTCTGTCTTTTAACTCAGCTGGAGAGGGAGGTGACACATGCACTGCAGAAGCAGATCCCTTGGGGTGCTGATTAATGCTGTACAGCTGAGATGAGGATGCTCCTGTCTCACAGACGCATTAGTTATTCTCACTGATCTGAGAACTGAGAGAGACAAGGGTTAAAAGCGAAAAAGAGGTTTGCTCATCCTCAGGCTCAGATGAAGCCTACATGTGCTCTGAGAAAGTGAGTGGGTTGGTGACCACAGAATGCAGGTTATATACTAATTATCTATAGTATCTAGTTACCATTACCTCAGTTTATGCTCTTGATGGTACCACTCTAGATCACAAACACTTAAGCTCCCAGGCAAACATCCTGGAGTGGTTGGCAAATGTGTAAAATCCTTATTTCTAATAGGGTGGAAAAATGCGAAACACAATGTGAACAATGACTGTTCTATTGATGACTGTGCAGGCATGTGCGCTTGTAAGCATGTTTATGATTTCATGAGCAATATTTGCTGAATACTAGTCAAATGAATAACAGCAAGACTAAGTATTTACAGTTATTTTCTCCATGCCTACAGCACTAAAGCAGAGCACTGCAATACATATCATTCTGGCATTCTAGGCTCCTCTATAACTAGAGGTGGGTAATCCAGGTCCAAAAAGTAAAAACCCACCCCATGATTTTGTTCCAACTGCCTGAACAGCTTTGCTGCTGGTTTGAGCAAATTAGAGAAGTCAAGCAGCTGGAACAAAATCCTGGGGAGAGGTTTTTACTTTTTGGACCTGGATTACGCACCTCTATCTATAACACAGATTAAACAGCTTTACTCAATTACCTAAAACCTGAACTTTAGTTCGCAGCAAGTCCTGGGTTTACACTACATTTTAAATCCAGAACTGAGTGCTATATTAAACATTTAGCAAACAAACAAGATAGAAACATAATAAAACATGACTTAAAAAGCATTTATCAGACCTATCTGAGACCTATCTGGGCGTGGCTCTAATATTCTGGTGTGCATGCCTGTTTTACAGCCCTCAGTCCAAGATTCCCAGTCTGCTTTGCCACTGAAGGAGAACTAAATATAACAGTGCAAGTGGGGAGAAATAAGCAGAATGGGCTCTGTGCATGCAGATTGTGTTGTAGTTCACCCCACTGTATCCGTGACACACTAAAATGATTATCAGGTTTTAATATGGTGATGTCTTAAAGAAGGTTAGGTTTGTATTCACTTTAATGCTGGACGTGCATCCAAGGAATGCTGGCATGACCAGTTGAACGAACACCAGACAACAGACAACAGGCAAACTGCAAGCTAAATTATGCTTGCTAGGTTACAAGACAGTTCTACAGCACCAAAATTGTAGTAGTATATAGGGATCTTGTTGGTTAGAGCATTCTAGATATCCAATTTCAAAATACAGTAGTAATATTATTTCTCACTCGCAGCTAATTTAAACAAGGAGAAAAATTCCTCAAAAGTGCGTATTCTACACTTTCAGTTAACATGACATTTGTGTTGTATACAGAAGAGAAGATTTATGATTACAATTTACGAATTTGATGACATTTTATGTAATGATGTGTAACTGAATATGTAATTACATCATTTGAATACAATAGCAAAACCACACTAATTATTTTCAACATCTAAGGGTTAAACCCACTGAACCAAGCATCTCGCAGATGATTAATTCTGAGAATTTGGCAATGACCTATTAAACTAGTTTAAATCTGCTGCCAGAGGAGTTACAGAGCGTGCATGTGCACACTGGCCACAGAACAACATATCAGCGTGCACAACCAGAGCTTTCTGTGTGCTACCGTGTTTTCAATCACTGTATAAAAGATGCACAAAGCTTCCTTTGTTGGATGCACAGTCTTTTTTTTCTGAATGAGCATGTGAGCTCATTCAGCATGCAATTCACATTTGTAAGAGCTACTGATTTGTTGAATCAGAGTAACAATAAAACAATACTGATATGTGACTTAAATTCCTACTCATGTGTTTTCTTGTTCAAAGAGTTAAACAAACTACATGAAAGTTGACAAATTTCCAGCTTAGTTAGATCACATTCTTTACATATCAAATAAATGCAACAACAGTGTTGAGACATCACGTTATTAACAGAGGAAAGCAGATGAAACAGCAGAATTAACCATGTCTTTAAAGGGTTAAACACAACTCCTATGTCCACTGCCAACATTAAGATGGTTACTCTTGACAAATCTGAAGTTGGACTGTATTTTCTAATGCAGAAAGACAGAGAGTGCATTAGAGCAGAGTGACTATTAGCAACATACAAAGGAACACTTTGAAATGCAAGACAGAAATAATTCTGTTACCTTCAAGGTTGGAACAATGATGACTGACTTATCTCATATCATTGTCAGCTGATTTGAAGAGCCCAGAAAATGTGAGCAGTGAGAACTAAACAATTCAGGAAAGAGTGCTTTGACATACATAAAACCTGTGAAGCGCTGCCCTGCACCTATAAAGCTGAGATATGGTGAAAGCAGTAGACTACACTGCATGGTTCTGACTTTCATGTGACTTTATAAAATAATGCTGTACTCACTTTCTTCAGAACCCTGGGGATCTTCCACAGTTCTGACGTAGTCATCCTATGGAAAAAAAAAATTATAACGCATAATTAACGATTCTTTAAAGCTCATTATTACTAACATAAAATCATTATTATTAACAGTTTACATAAAGGAACTTTTGCCTCTTTCACCATGGGAACACAGATCACAACTTGACGCAAGCTCACACCCACGGGAACCAGTGCAAACTCACTCAATCTGCGCAACACACTCAGTGACTAAAAGACAAGGCATGTCAGTGTGCTGCAGATCTGCTTTACTCAGAAACAGAAATGTGCATTATTTGATGGCTTCAGCCTAATTCAGTCAAAACCCCACTTCTCTAGGTCTGCTGTCTAATTTTATCTGCAAAGCGCCAACGTGGCTGCAGGTTTTCAAACAAGTTGTAGCACACCTGATTGCACTTGCTTATTCACTGGTCAGTCTCAAAGAACTGGTCAGGTGTGCTCCTGCTTTCTGGGAAGAAAGCCTGAAGTCATACAGGCCCTTTGTGGATAAAACTGGACACCCCTTCTCTAGGTCTATAGCCAGCCTGCTCTAGGTAGGGGCATTTCCCTCCCACCAAAAAAAAACAAAAACAAAACACAAAAAGACCCAATTAAAAAAAGGACAAAATTAGAAATAGTTACCTACCTCCACTTCCTTCAGTGGTGAGATGGAGAGCAGGAGCGGAAAGGTAAGAAAAAGAGAAAAAGAAGAGAGGGAGACACGTGAAAAGACTAATCAAAGACTCAGGAGTGTTTTCCATGCAGTGCACATGTAAGAGATTGTGCCTTAATTGTGTTTTTATCACATACTTTGTGCTTGAGGAAGACAGATGAGCATGTCTGTGCATTCCAAGGACGACACATAAAGAAAGATTATTAGAGCTGATCATGATAAGCACACAGTTGATGAGAGTTGGCTGGATTCCCGCAGCATGCGCTCTCTGCTTTCCTATCATTGTGATAAAAGGTCCTTGTGTGAAGCTAAATAGCCCCCTATATATTTAGTATTTTATTTTTAGTAGGATTTCTTAAGTTTATAGTCTTGTCTAGCTTGGTACATCTATTCTGAATCTTATAAGCTCATTTTGATTTTCTCTTGGTTTTCTCAATCTGGTGCTTTGTTGTTTATGGCCACTGAGGAAGAAGTAATAATTGCAAATGGTTTTAATAGGGTTGTTTCTAACATTTTGGTCCCTAAGCGACATCCTACTTCCTAGCCCTCATCCCAATCATATTATTTTGTAAGCAACAATGGGGAAAATGAATAATTAATTTTGAGAATGAAAAATGTAGGAAAACGCAAAAACACAAATAAATTATATACTGCATATAGTGCTTAGAGCAAGAAACGGCCCGGGCTTTGAATCAGCCAACACTGTTTTCAAATAACACACAGCACAAAGATTGTGTGTAGTGTAGTTTTACATTACTTCACAACTACTCCTAAGAGAAAGCCTCAGAATTTTGGTAAAACTACACTGTTGAACAATGTCAGACTATGGAACATTACCTACAATGCCTTGTAAAATAAGACAGAAGGTGAAAAAGAACTGAGTGAGCACAGATTTTACCATAATACTGCCAAGTGGTGCAAATGTCAAATGTCAAAGCATTGACCCAACATCAGGAGATAGTGAGCTGAAACCCCAGCGATGCCACAGCCATCCATTACTGTGAGGAAAATGAGTTAAAAACAAGTTCTATCTTATTATAAGAACTTTTGACTAAGCCAATAAGTTTGAGTTATGTATTCTCAACACATATGTTAAGTAAAGCTGTGTAATAAGTTCCCGTATAATTTTAAGTTGAGCTAATTTTTCACTTTTTACAGAGTATTGTAATAATCTCACTAAGAATATTTAATATTCTGACCCCTGTACATGGAGACCAAGTTTGTGTTAAAAATGTTAGAACACAAAGAAAATTGTCATTTTAGCATTGAGTAAGGCTGGAACATACGTTCCCTCTCAATGCTCATCCTTGCTTAGTAAACACTAAACGTTTGGCGCTTCTCACACCTTCTCTGATTTATATTGCTCTACAAATGTGCGTTGCCAAAGCAAACACAGCTCCACTTGCTCATTTTAGCACCTAATGTGTAAAAAAAAAGCCTTTAGTCAGCATACATCCCCTTATGCTTGGCGGAGACGTGAAGTATGAGGTGCAATGCAGCTTTGATAAGAGCAATGGACAACCTTACTTGATTTTAAGTCAGTATGACAAAACTATGACAAAACCCTGTGTGCTCAAAAATCTACTTTTTAAGAAGGGGAGTATATTTTGCACAATTAAAAAACTTTAGTTACAGGTGATTCTTTAGTGAAAAGAGTGAGGGGGTGTAAAGAAGAGGTTAAACCCTTTAAGCAAACAGAGAAAGAATGAGAGACAATACAAATCTTTCTTAAAAGGAGAGAATCTCAATGCACAAACACAGAATCAAAGGCATGAGACACTTTTCTAGATTCAATAAGAAACGTTAAGTGCACTTCTGCTACATGGTCCTGTTTACACTAACACCAAGCCCAGACAGGCCCACTGTGACTGGAAAAGTGGTGGGGGGTTAGAGGAGCTGTTCTTCATGGCACGAGGTCCCGAGGGTCTCAGGATTCATAGCAGTGAACATCACCCCAGCAGGCGTGCCAGAGCAGCACTAGCTTAGCCGCTGTAGCGCAGGATGCTCCAGTTAATGGAGCATGACTGTCCAGATGCTGCTCTGGCTCTCCAGGGCCTGCGTTAATGCTAATGCTAATTCTAGTCTGCCAGAGGTTGGACACCAGCCTGACTGAAACACTTTACCAAGGACCAGCGATAGCACCATGCACAGTGTGCTTTGTCCTTGAGATGAAACCATTTTTATCACATCTTATCACACATGTATGTATTCTGCAAGGGCACATGGACACACATGCATACAATTGGATGGATGGTATGAACTTTGCTTCACGCTCTCAGAAACACACACATTCACTTACCTTGAAGGACACGTCCTCTACAAACCATATATGAGTGTGTATACAGCCCTGATAAGGCCATCGCTGACAGTTTATTCTAATCTCATCAGGTAAGCTACTCTAAGGAAGGTGCTTCAAGCTTTGATCCACTGAATAACAGCATTAATAAACAAGACAAGAAAACATTTGTAAAATGTATGACTCTGCGCGAGCCATGGACGCTCAGAGCTGTGCCCTGACAATGGAACCATTTCTGCTTCTATTCATGCTGGTGTCTCTTGTGTCCCTGCTTAGTGTAAGTGGAGCGTGACCTACTGGGAGACGCTGAGGAAATTCAGCCTGGTTCACATTTGCATGTGTAAGCCGCGATGGGCCAGCACATGCATTCTAATAGCACAAGAGTCTGCATGTTTCAGACAGTAAGATTTCAGCAATCAAGGCAATCTATCAAGCCACAAATAGAGACTACGAATTTTCCAATTGGCATTAGCTGTACCTTTCACTGTGGAACAAAACCTTCATTTAAATTTTGTAGTCCAGTCACATGCAGGAAGGGGTAGGGAAACTGGTTTGAATTTGAAAAGACCATTCACAAGGCATTGGCAGTCAAGTGTCATTTAAGGCAGATGCTTTTCTGATAGATGCGTCCTGGAGACCCTAATAATTGACATCAAGACCAAACAATCAAAAATGCAGAATAAAAAAAGAGCAAACTGCACGTGCTCATGGTATCCTACAGAATCATAGGTATGAAATGAGCTTCCAGTCTTATCAGCTCCTGTTGTTGCTGGTAACTGCCAGATTCACTATGTCATTTTTCCTCACTGTGATTGGCTAAATGAGACATGACTGACAGAATGATGATCCAACAGTTTCCTGTAATGAAAGCCAACCGACAAAATGCACCACTCAACAAATTGCTTGGCAGTCAAGAGAAACTGTCATTGTTTAGGATCAAAGGTGGCTCTCTATCTGGCAGGGGACTGAGCACATTTTTCCCCAATGCCTTTTTCTGCAGTGATCTGCAAAAGCCTGTTTTGGTTTGTTATCTTCAGTGTGAACTGTTAGCAATGCACTATGGCTCCTGAGAGTATGTACTGTCTTCATATTTCAAACAGTCATCTCTCCTGTAGCCTGCCACTATTCTGTCATCATCCTAACAAAGCTCTGTACCTCCAAAATACCATAAATATCATTTTTTTAAGAAGAGAAGTAAATGTGGTATGGACTAAACTGCATAGACTATTGTACATTTCCCAATACAAACAGAAGTCTTCCTCTGTTTGGAATAATCCCTCCATTAGAATTAAGAAAAAAAATGATTCTGTGAGAATCACGGTTAGATGGGAATACTAAGAAAATCAGTGATAGATATAGAGAAGATATATTTCAGTCCTATCAATAACTTAAACATCATTTTAATTTAACAGACATGTGAGACTTTTGGAGACATTTACACATGAGAAGCTGTGTAGAGTCTTGGAGTTATGCTAAGCGAAAATGAGAATAAACTGACATGCTTTCTTAATTTGTCCAGGTGTGAACATTCAGCTGCAAGGCTCTATAATATCATGGCAAACAATCAGTACGGTAAATATGAGAATCTAAGGCTGATCTGGGAAAAAGATCTGAACTCAGACATAGCAGAGAATACACAGAAATATATGGTTTGTCACTGCCACAAGAACTATCCTCAACCCCACATTTACCAAAATTAATGACAGATTCAGTCTCTTTTCAAACTGCGGTTGCAAGACATAATGGTTATCAAATGGAATTTTATCAGGTTTGGTCCCAATTCTTAAACTACATGAAAATGGAAGCAAGGCCCCTTAGAGAAATATTGTAAAGTTGATAAATGAGCCTACAAACATTTAAACAGTTCAATTCATAATGTAGCCATCCATTTTGTAATCAAATTAATTAGCTAACTAATTCATACATATTTTTATGTGCCTGACTTGATCTGCTAATGTATGTACTGTAATCTATGTAATGTGTCATATTTCATGTTGTAAAAAAAGAAGAGCACTAAAATGTTTCTACACTTGCCTGATCATAACATGTATAATATAGTTGGAACTATGTTTTTAGTACAAAGACCTATGCAATATCTACTGGGTATGAAGGAAAGGGTCAGCTTTAAAAGAAAGAAAAAAAGAAACAAACAAACAAAAAATGGAGATTTTAAAAATACAGTTCATTAGCTTTTCTTCTCCACAATGACACATTGGCGGTCTGGCAAGGGTGGCGCAGTCAGTCTCTCTGTCCTACAGCTTTCTAAATGAGAGAGTAATGGTAGAGGACCACTGCTGTTTCATCCACTTACAAATGCATTAACAGCACCTTGAAGACAAGAACTACATATCAGTCAGTCCAGACACACAATACTCACACTGCGAAGGCTGCCATTTCACTCTGCAGCCAGCCCTGATTCCATACTGTGCAAACTGAGAGAGCTCTCTCTGCTAACTTCTACTTTAAAGGAGTAGGTTATGCCTCATTTTAAATGGATGCCTCATGTTAAAACTGAGTCTAAGTTTTCAATTTAAGCAGAGAGTTTACATGGGCTCATTCTGCAGTTCAGTTTCTCACTCTTCTCATAACATTCCTTGCATTTTAATTTCATAGTAGACACTGAATAATTCATAGTAGTTACAGCAATACCAGCTAGAAGAAAATCTAGAGAAACCCTCTAATGTGA